TGTCCCTTTTAAAATATCCTAATTAATCCCTATTTTCAGCCTTTTAATTATGTTTTCCCACATTGGGCACCTCTGGTTTATGCAGAGTCTCTTTGTGGTTTATAAATTCAAGTCATTAATTACCATTCTATCTTCTACTGATTAATAATTTTTCCCTTTGATTATCCTAAACCATACTTTCATATCCATATTTTTAATTCTGTTATATCAAACTGGGCACCTCTGGTTTGTGCAGAGTCTCTTTGTGGTTTATAAATTCAAGTCATTAATTACCATTCTCTCTTCTACTGATTAATAATTTGTCCCTTTTTAATTATCCCAAATAATCCATACTTTCATATCCAGATTTTAAATTATGTTTTCCCACATTGGGCACCTCTGGTTTATGCAGAGTCTCTTTGTGGTTTATAATTTCAAGTCATTAATTACCATTCTCTCTTCTACTGATTAATAATTTGTCCCTTTTTAATTATCCTAAATAATCCATACTTTCATATCCATATTTTTAATTATGTTATATCAAATTGGGCACCTCTGGCTTTTGCAGAGTCTCTTTGTGGTTTATAAATTCAAGTCATTAATTGCCATTCTATCTTCTACTGATTAATAATTTGTCCCTTTTAAAATATCCTAATTAATCCCTATTTTCAGCCTTTTAATTATGTTTTCCCAAACTGGGCACTTCTGGTTTATGCAGAGTCTCTTTGCGGTTTATAAATTCAAGTCATTAATTACCATTCTGTCTTCTACTGATTAATAATTTGTCCCTTTTTAATTATCCTAAATAATCCATACTTTCATATCCATATTTTTAATTATGTTATATCAAATTGGGCAACTTCATATCCATATTTTTAATTATGTTTTCCCACATTGGGCACCTCTGGTTTATGCTGAGTCTCTTTGTGGTTTATAAATTCCGCGTTCCTCCTGGTGTTCCGTCCTCAACAATAAATCCCTCCCCCAGCTCTGGGAGCACTGAAGTAATTTGCCCCTTTTTAATTATCCTAAATAATCCATACTTTCATATCCATATTTTAAATTATGTTTTCCCACACTGGGCACCTCTGGTTTATGCAAAGTCTCTTTGCGGTTTATAAATTCAAGTCATTAATTACCATTCTATCTTCTACTGATTAATATTTTTTCCCTTTGATTATCCTAAACCATACTTCCATATCCATATTTTTAATTATGTTATATCAAATTGGGCAACTTCATATCCATATTTTTAATTATGTTATATCAAATTGGGCACCTCTGGTTTATGCCGAGTCTCTTTGTGGTTTATAAATTCTGCGTTCCTCCTGGTGTTCCGTCCTCAACAATAAATCTCTCCCCCAGCTCTGGGAGCACTGAAGGATACGAGCCCCTAAACTTTTGTTTTGCCATCATCCATTAGGAATCCCATGGATTTTCCTCTCCATAATTCCTGATTCTTTTGGAAGCAGAACTCGGGTNGGGATCCAGAGCCGGGATCAGGGCTGGGAGTGATTCCAAAGGATCCCTGAGCTCTGGGGGAGCCAGGATGGTCCCAATTCCTTTGGCTCCGGCTCCGTGGCTGCAAGAGAGCAGGAGAGGGATGAGGATGTGGGAAATGCTTGGCTGGATCCCTCTCACCCTAATTCCTGGGATCTGGGGAAAAAGCCAGGAAAAGGATGAGGATGTGGGGAAATGCTTGGCTGGGTCCTTCTCCATCCATTTTCTGGGATTTGGGGCAAAGCCAGGAAAAGGATGAGGATGTGGGGAAATGCTTGGCTGGGTCCCTCTCCATCCATTTGCTGGGATTTGGGGACAAAGCCAGGAAATGGATGAGGATGTGGGGAAGATCTTGGCTGGGTCCTTCTCCATCCATTTGCTGGGATTTGGGGCAATTTGTGGACAAAGCTGGGAAAGGGATGAGGATGTGGGGAAATGCTTGGCTGGGTGCTCTCCATCTGGAAAGATGAGATTTCTCCATCTGATTTCTGGGATTTGGGGACAAAGCTGGGAAAGGGATGAGGATGTGGGGAAATGCTTGGCTGGGTCCCTCTCACCCTAATTCCTGGGATCTGGGGACAAAACTGGGAAAAGGATGAAGATGTGGGGAAATGCTTGGCTGGGTCCTTCTCCATCCATTTTCTGGGATTTGGGGACAAAGCCAGGAAATGGATGAGGATGTGGGGAAATGCTTGGCTGGGTCCCTCTCCATCCATTTTCTGGGATTTGGGGACAAAGCTGGGAAAGGGATGGGACAGCTATCCTGCTATTCCAACTCTATCCATGCTCTTGGACAGGGAATGGGAATTCCCTGGGGCAGGGCAGCTCAGCTTCATCCCAAAGCCCATCCCAACATCCCAACCCTCTCCCTGCCCACCAGCAGCATCCCCAGGGCAAATTCCCTCAAATTCCCCCAAACCCCCACCCACCTTTGGGATCATCCATGGGAGCCATCCATATTGAGGCCAGGAAGAGCAGCCACGCATCCCTGGCTGCTCCGTGTGCTCTGCCCCCCCCTCAGGGAAGCATCCAGAATTCCATCCTCCGGCGTCCCTCGGCACGGTGGGTGCGCCCAGCGTCCCCAGGGGGGGCACTCAGCCCGTGGGGACAATGACAGGAGGTGGCACCTCCTGGTTCCCAGAGGGAATTCCCTCCATGGGAATGTCCATCTCCGTCTCCGTCACGGCGTAGCCCTGCCTGGCGCCTCTGTGGGGGAAGAGGAGCATCAGTGGCATCCCAAGGCTTCTCTTTGGAAAACTCATTGCTGGGGTTTGGCACTTACTTCCTCCTCCTCCTCCTCC